CGAAGTCTCCGCTGTCTTGTAAGTCCTCAAAGGTACATTCGGGCTGTTCAGCTACGCATAGGAAGGCATGTGCTTTGGATGGTCGCCCTGAAGCAGCCCCAAGATTCGTCCGTACCTTTTGCTGCCACTCAAGCAGCTGTGTGATCTTAGGCAAAACAGGGACTCGGACGGTGTCTGACTCCTTAATCGGAGTAGTAGTATTGACCGAGCCCGCAGACAATGGTTGCGAGGTTATCGGTACACCGTCGGTAGTTGGTTCTGTGCGCACGGGAGACACGTGGCGTGTCTGTGCCGAAGCTGCCGCGGAGGCTGCTCCTGGTGACGTACGTCGTTGTTGTCCTGCAAAAGCGCGCGGTGCTTCAGCGGGCGCTGCCGTCGGCCTGGGCAGGTCGGTTGTAGGCTGAAGGTGAAGTGTGGTGTCGTTGGTGTGGTCAATCAGCTGATTTGTCCAGCTCGTCATATCCTCGTGTATATGGTCCACTTTTTGGCGTGCGTACTCGTCAGTATCACGAGAGCGTTGTGAATACCGATCAAGTCGTTGCTCGTGGGCTCGGAGACGGGCGCTGTGTGCTTCCAACTCACTGTCCAGACGTGTGAGACACTCCTCGACGCGTACCTTTTTCAGCATCTCTCTCACGAATAACCTGGGAGAGCTCAGACTGCGCGTGGTCCGCCGCCTTCTCAACCTCCTGCAACCTGTCAATGGGGCGGGCGAAATCGTAAACCGTGGGAGGAGAATCCAGCTGGCCAGTCTGGGCTCGTCCGACACGCAATTATGCCAGGACGTCCAGTGCACCAGGGAAACGCTGCTCGATTTCAGAGATCTGGAGAGTGAGTGGCTGTGCGACAGCGTTGGTCGCATCCAGCCTTCGAGCGATAACTCTCTCAGTGCTTTGCAACATGCCGATCAGGTTCGACGAATTGGCGTTTGCTTCGGCACGAAGCGTCGCTGTAGTGTGGTCCATGTGGGATCGAAGATCGTTGATCTGAGACTGGACATCGCCAAGGTCGGTGGCTCGGCTGGAGGCGCTCGGTTGCGGAGCTGGTCGTGGATCTCGTCGTGGAGGATCCTGACCGCTGAAACGCCTGTGTCGCGGACGGTCGCAAGCTGTTGCTCCATCTGCGCAAGGTAGTTGCGCAGGTGCTCGACCGTCGCTGACCGTTCACCTGAGTGTGACACCTCACGATCAACCTGGTGCTGCAGCTCACCTAAGATGCGGCGATCTTCACCGATCCTGGAATGAATGATCGCTAAGGCGCCGTCAAAATCTTGACGTAGGGCAGCAGCGTTGGCAGCGTTCGCCGGAACGCTCTGCATCAGTCCAGAATACTGCCTGGACACGAAGGTTTCAACCTGGTCGCTGAGCTCAGCTATTTCACCTGCAGCGGACGCCACCACCGGCAGGTCGCTTGAGAGAGAGAGAGAGGTGGGGAGCGTCAGCTCCCCTCTGCATCCTCTCGCGAGGAGTGCGTGGCCTCTGAAAGGCGGCACGCTGGCTCGACCTTGTCTCGTCGTATGGGCCTGTGGCCCCGCGACGGTTACGCAAGGACGAGCTGCGGCTAGGGCCGTGTGTGTGGTGCCTGACGAAATGATACCTGGGGGTGCTGCGTCTGCGGCTGTGCCGCCACTGGTCTACCGAGTTCCTCAAAGGCAGCAACGTGCTCCGCTACAGGAGCGGTCGCAAGGCTGGTCATGCCATTACCTGTGTTCCGTCGGCGGGTAGCGCGGAAGCGCCCTGGAATATCGGGACCAGTGGGGCTGGCGCCCGACGCAGTTGGGATTGCTCCCGACGGAAGAGGAGATGGAAGATCGAAGGTAGGCGTGTGAAACTCTCGACTGCCGGTAGGCGTGTGAAGCTCTCGCTTGCTCCCGACTCCTACTCCCTCTCCTGTCCCCCCGCGGGCGGCGTGGCGGTGAAGTTCAGCAGCTAGCCGCGCCTCGGGTCCGTCTGAGCTGGGGGGGGGTATCGGGGACACCCACGCGGTCCACATTAAGGCTCTCCAACTCAACGCCGAGCCGTTGCGCCGTCGGAGAGCTCGGACGCGAGGCCCCGACGGACCCCTTACGGCGCATGCGCCGCTTGGGTTCCATCGAGGCCGCGTGCGAGATCGCGACGCGGAGTTCGATGAACTGTGAGCTTTAAAGGCTGACGACCTATGTATGGGGTCGGAGTGCAAAGGTACAGAACCCCTGATCCGCTGGTTGAGGAAAAGAGGGAAAGATGAATATATTTTCCTCCTGCACGATCAAAGGTCTGATCGATCTGTTCCAATACCTGGGCCCAAACGGCCAGGCGCAGGAGAGTGAGGATAAGGATTATATATATGAGGGTATTACACGGGTTCCATTCACAGGAGGAACATGAGTAGGGAATGAGGGACATGAGAAGGAGCAATTGAGGAGTAGGAGGGAAGAGGGGGCACAGCAGAGAAGAGGAGGTGTAGGAGGAAAGAGTCGGAGGATGTGGAAGATGATAAGGGAAAAAGAAATCGATCAAGATGACATGGTCTGGAAGACGGAAGGGGGGACAAGGGCGAACCACAAAACTCCATGTGGTGCCGCGAGATCGCCGCTGGGAAAGCTCGCGGGGCGTGCTGCTCGCGCCGACGTCCCCCCCCCCCCTAGGGCGGGGAGGGGGACGGCACGGGGACTCCTCGAGGCAAGAGGGAAAGAGGGAACTTCGCTTCGCGTCGGCTCCCATTCAAACTCAACCCCAATGGATTGCCATCGGTGCCCTGGGCCATGGCCTGGGCCATGGACCCCTATCTCTGCCAACTTCGTTGCGGAGGGGCATGCCGTGGCGATCGCAGAGGGTACGCGCGAATGGGAAGGGGGGGAAAGAGACACACCCCCAGAAATACCATCATCGTCAAACCAGGAAACATGCACGAAATGGCGGTGATAGCATCGGGCACTCGTAGACGGTAGGAATAGCACCGAAGATAATAGCCTCTTGGAGTGTGTCAACTTAGGCACCAGCACACAAATATTGTTTCTGGTGGGTGCATTTGCGGAAGCCCGCTTGCTTCCGCGAAGTAAGCTGCCTGCTGAGTGTCTGACTAGCTGGTTGCTCGGGTCCGCTAGCACGCCATCATTTTCTCGGGCACCGAGTGTGCAATCTTTGACAAACACTGATACAATCCGTTCTGCAAACACTAATGTGCAAGAGTGTATTCGGCCACTGGCTGCGCAACCTATGACGCAACCATTCGGAGGCCTTTTGTTTGTGCCGCCGGGTGTACCAGCTATGGCGCAACCAATAGCGGGCCAGCCGCTTTTGGATCGGTAACCGAATTCACAAGCTATGACGCAGTCGATAGCAGGCCGTTGTATAATGGCGGCCGAATGCGCAGTGCGCATCCAATCGCAGGCGTCGGTTTCGTACGACCACTAATACTACAAACCATGGCGCAGCCAATAGCAGGCCGTTCTATTTTGCGCCGACGAGTATGCCGCCGATGACACAATCAATAACAGGCCGCTTTATGTTTGGTCGCCGAAAGTGCAACCTATGACGCAATTGAGGGCAGGCCGGTGGACTCAAACAAGACAGTTGTAAAGTCTCCCAGGCTCCCAAAAGGGAAGACACCTCGACGAAACCAGAAACCTTACAACAAACAACACTTTGACAGTATACATTCGATCGGATACAGGCACCCCTGTACTTCCAACCGCAACTGAGAACTCTACATCGTACCAAACCGCACATGGGACTTCAACGCCGCGACTCAATGTGACTGTTGCATCCTGGCGATCCTGCATTGTGCCAGAACGCCAAACCTGGAACTTTAGCACCGCGACCCCACGTGACGGCTGAGTCCTGACAGCCTAAATCGTCACAGAACACCACTCCTGGGACTTCAACCCTACGAACCCTGGAAAGTCATGCAAGTGTTTAGTGCGAGTGTGCGCGGCGCTACAGCGAGAACCACATCTTGAAAAGGAGCCAGCCGACATCCTGAGGCTGCTACAAGCTTTTAGCACCGCTGTGCGCGGCGCAGAGGCGAGAGCTCCATTTTGAAAGCGGCCCGCCCTCTATCCTGGTAAGTCTGGCAAACTTGCAAAATATCGCAACATGCAAATGACATCTCAAGCGGAACGCCCGCCACGGCCTACGGACACGCTTGGGGGTGCGACAAGGAGGATAGATTTATCAAGCCACAAACACAGCCACCGAGCCGCGTCACAGCGGTCACAGCCACAGCCACAAAACTGCCTCACACGCGGCCAATACCGTCCAAGCCGACTCGCATCCTCAATATCTTGCGATGGAAGCCAGTGCAAAGTCTCGACCGCACTTCCTTGCGCTTAGCAAGCGCGCAAACTAAAACGTGTTGTCTGTGTCTGGATCCGGTGCTCTGGCCAAAGAACAACGCAAGCATGGGTCCCGAAAATCCCGCAACTGTCCTCCAGAGTTTTAAAAGAAACACCGCTGGCAGAAACAAACGAAGCTGCCGTCGCTGCAACCGGCACCGATACAAAAACGACCGAGCTCATGCAAACGCTTCGGGTCAACGAGCAGCTTGTTGGATCAATGTCCAAAAGGCAAGGAAGAGGGATTGACGAGGAGGCGACGCAGGAGAAGGGAGGAGGAGAACGATGAGAAGCAGGAGCAGGACGATGACGATGGATTTCAGAGGAAGAAAGGGGAGCGCGGATGAGAACGAGGAGGAAGTACAATGTACAAGAAATAGAGAGGGAGACGTGGGAGCGGAGAGGAGGGGCGACGCAGGCGAGGAGAAGGACGATGAGGAGGATAAGAAGGCGGAGGAGGTCAAAGACGAAGACGTAAGTGGGAGGAGGGAAGCAAGGCGGAAGGCGGGAGGGAGGGACGCAAGGGATGAAGTGGGACATGGATAAGGAAAGGGCCGTCGATCGTGACACCTCCGAGGCGCGAGGATGATGTGTATGTGTGTGTGCATGTGAACAAACATGGAGCTCTCTGCCGATTCCTCGTCGCGACGACTCGGGGCTATAACTCGCGCCCAGCCCCCAGGTCCGCAGAGTAGACGTCCGTGGTCAGGCCTTTCAGATCGATGGCCCCGAACTTGACGTCACCCCCAGCCTTCAGCGGAGGAATCAAGGGGACCTGGAGCTGCTGGAACTTCCGACATACCTTCAAGTAGAGGAGCTCGGTCACGATGCGGGTGCGCTCGGCCTGTCTCACCTCGTCCATCCTGCGCCTGAGCACCAGAGTGTCCTCCTGCGGGAGACGAGGACTTGAACAGGCCCGCCGTCCTCTTCCTGCCTCCCCCTCCTCCTCTAATCGTTTCCCTCCTCCCAGGAGGGGGTCGAGCGAGGCGAGGCGAGCGCCGATATCCTCAACCGCACTGGCGCGCGGCCTCGCGCCTTGAAGGCATCGGCGGTGGGACCGTAGCCCCTCAGATGATGACAGGGAACTGGGGCGTTCCAGAGTCAGTTCGGTGACCATCCTGTCGTCTTACCTGAACTCTGCAATTATCATCGTATCGGTCATCCTTTGCATAAACAGATATCAAAACACCATCACTGAACTGAGCTCCAAGGTCTTCAGCCGTCAAATCCGTTGCGGCATGAAGCATCAATGGGCCGATATACATGGAGTACGCTAGATCGTCGCAGTCCCCGTCTCCGAATCTGTCAACAACAGCTGTGCACCTCGTTCCCAAAAGAATGCGCCCTGGCTGCCAGAACAGATGCTGACGCCCAGGCTCGTTCCAAATCTCGACGAAAAGTGCGTCGATATCCATGTCTGCCTACGTAGCCAACATCACTTCCTCGTCGGAATCTCCAGGGATGATGTTCAAAGCGCTCGCTCCCCGAGGGGGTGGGGGAGGGAACGTGGGAGGAACGAGGTGGACCTGCACACTCGACCCTCCGATCCTGCGCTGGCGCAGGGCCGATCAAATATACAGCGAGAGAAACCGCAACTCTCTAACGGTCCGGGTCAGCTGTCCTCGCGCTGTGCCGGGGAGGCGTGGTGGGCCGCGCGCGATCGTCTTCGCGCCCTCGCCCCGGGAGCATCTCTTCCGATCTGGCAGCTGGCCGGGGAAACACACGGGCGATGAGTGTACCGTGTGCCCCCGCCTTGGGGGAGCCCCGGCTGACCACCAGACGGGGAGTGCAAAGGGATGTGGATGTCTGGTGCAGTTTGTCGGCGGCGCGCCGAGGGGGGGGGGAAGGCCTTCTCAGAAGGCGGCGGGGCTTCTCAGAAACCCTCTGGCATTCTGAGAAGCCGCCTGCGTCAGCGGAGAAGGGTTGGACAACTTATCAGAAGGCCCGAGGCCTTCCGAGCCTTCTGAAAAGGCCGCTCCCGTATGCATACCCCCCTGGGCCCGCCGCCAACGTATGTATGGCGAAACTTGGTATACAAAAGCTGTGAGACCACCGGGCTGGTTTCACATGCGGGACACGCTGCCCAAAATCACTCAACAACCCCATGTGTTTATTTCAGACTGCTTGTCTGATTTCCACCTCGGTCTCAAGAGGGTCCGAGACGGGCCAAGAGGCCTCGCAAGACCAGCCCAACACGGCCCAAGACTGTCCCAAGACGGACTACAAGGGTGACAACATGTCCCAAGAGAGAGAATCCCAAGACGGTCCAGAGAGGCCACCCAAAGACAGCTTCCGACGGCGCCAGCTCAAGGGCGGCCTAGTTGAGCCACACAGTGCCCGACATGGCCTCAGTAGGCGTCTCAGAAGGCCCCCAGATCCAAAAAGAACGCCACGACGGCTTCAGAGGGCCCATCCCCAATTTTCCCTCCAGGGCGGTTTCCCCTTTAGCTGGGGGAACACGCAGTCCACGAAGCATCGCGTCCTCACTTCTTCTCTACGTGTCATGGCATAGGCGTTTCCAAAAGGCAGGGGGCGGTGGTGACTCGCTGCAGGCGTATTAGAACAGTTCTTCGTGAGGAGCACACTAGCTTCGATGCAAAACCCAATTGGAAAATATAGCAAAACATCCTGAATTCTTCACCGTGCCGTTAGGCACTGAGTGGCGTTTCCTCACGTCGCTTCAAATCTTCAAAATGTTGCACAATACATACTTTTGCAATTAAGGAGCCCGACCACCCACGGATTCCTTGAGGCGTAGCGCATGACTCCTGGGGCACGAAAGGTGGGCCCGAGACAGCCAATGAAGGCCTACACACGGCCAACGCGGGCCCCAAGACGGCTGAGGATATTCTCAAGACGGCTCGCGAGGCTTCGGATACGTTCCAAGAAAGCTCCAACATGACCCCCGAGAGGGTCTGAGAAACCGGCCCTCACCCATTGAGTTCCTTCACGCCTTTAATGATAACTCTGGGGTTCTAGCGGTTTCGGGCTTCAGGACGCCCCATATGGCCCAGTGGCACAGGAGGCCCCTCAAATCGCTTCCAGACGACCCAGGAGGCCCCCAACACGACCTAAGAGGCTTCCACGAAGACCCCAAGAGGGGGACCTTGGCAGCCCTTCCCCCGACGATACCCCTGAAGAGACCCCCAGACACGCCCAAGAAGCCCCAAGATGCTCCAAAGAGGCCTCTGCTTCAGAGGAGGCCTCCAAGAGGCCCCCAGGGGACTCGCAGATGTCCCAAAAGGCATCCAAAAGGCACCCAAGAGGCTTCCAAAAGGCACCCAAGAGGTATCCCAAGAGGCCCCAACATGTGTCCAAGATGCCTCTGATCCACAACCCACGCGCGGTGGCGGGATGAGCCGAACCAGATAACAGGAACTACGAGAATTTCTAAAACACGAAGCATCACATAACAACAGCCGAGACGCATCAAAGCTATTTGCGACCGATGCTGACTGAAAAGAGGAAGAGCGGCCGTGGACGAGGACAGAGGAGGGAACCGCGATCAGTGCGTGGAACACACCACGCATGGCGCTGGCGGTCGCAAGGTATTATCAATGACACGCTGGAAATACACGTATCGCATCCCGATGCAAAACTAGCATGGCAAAGGACCCAACCATACGAAGTTGTGAGTACCGCAATTGTGAACATCTTCTTCGGTAGCGCTCCTTTCGAAATGGGTACGGCGGACGCATGTGGACGGTGGCACTGGGGCCTTCGGTGGAGCTCCCTATGGGGCCACGAAACGTGTGAGAAGGGTGCCGAAATGGCTGTGGGGGACGCATGCGGGCGGTGCCCCTGGAGCCTTCGGCGGAGCCCCCTATGGGGCCACGAAGCGTGTGAGGGGTGTGCCAAAAGGGGTATGAGGGACGCATGTGGACGGTGGCACTGGGGCCTTCGGTGGAGCTCTGGAGCCACGAAGCGTGTGAGGGGGGTGCCGATATTGCTGTGGGGGACGCATGTGGACGGTGGCGCTGGGGCCGTCGGTGGAGCTCCCTGTGGGGCCACGAAGCGTGTGAGGGGTGTGCCGACATGGGGATGGGGGACACATGTGGGCGGTGCCAATGGAGCCTTCGGTGGAGCTCCCTATGGGGCCACGAAGCGCGTGATGTGTGTGTGTGTGTGTGTGCCGAAATGGGGGACGCATGTGGACGGTGGCACTGGGGCCTTCGGTGGAGCTCCCTATGGAGCCACGAAGCGTGTGACGGGTGTGCCGAAATGGGTGCGGGGGACGCATGTGGACGGTGGCACTTGAGCCTTCGGTGGAGCTCCCTATTTCGCCACGAAACGTGTGAGGGGTGTGCCAAAAAGGGTGCGGGGGACGCATGCGGGCGGTGCCCCTGGAGCCCGCGAAACGTGTGACGGGTGTGCCGAAATGGGTGCGGGGGACACATGTGGACGGTGGCACTGGAGCCGTCGGTGCTTTTTATGGGGCCGTGAAGCGTGTGAGGGGTGTGCCGAAATGGGTGCGGGGGACGCATGTGGACGGTTGACGGTAGCACTGGGGCCTTCGGTGGAGCTCCCTATGGGGCCACCAAACGTGTGAGGGGTGTGCCAAAATGAGGGGGGTGACGGGAGGGGGGGTGAGCGGGAGGAGGACGGGGAGGAGGAAGGAAGGAAGGAAGGAAGGAGGAGAACGCGGGGAGCGTCTCTTCAAAACGAGGACCCAACACCACAGGATGGTTGGGAAAACGCCCACAACGCATCGCACTGATTCAATGAAAATGATGGACGAGGGCCGAGGCCCCGGCGCTGCCACGCGCTGGCCCTGGCCCCGATGCTCCGACCTCGCGTACGTTGCTTTCAGCCCCAGCCCTAGTGCTGGAGGCATAATCAGAGCGAGGGGGCCGAATGGTCATTCTCTATCCCTGGGTGCGTGGCTGAAGTGGTACCCCGCGGCGCGGATTCTGCTATTCGAAGTCTCACTTTGGAAAAATCATTAGTGTTGACCCCCCCTCCGGTAACATATTGCTATTTTCCATTGAAGTACCCCTCCACAAGGAAAGCCTTCCTCCTCAAACTGCGTTGTTGGCCCCCGAAATACAACAACAACAGCAGCAGCAGCAGCAGCAGCAACAACAACAACAACAACAACAACAACAACAACGGCTCCCGCTTGATACTTCCTCACAACACGTGGGACTTCCTCACAATTTATTCAGACGATGCGGACTCGGCGCTCAAAAGTCACGCTCTCGCGTTTGGCTTTATCATGTTTTTCTTTGGGAATCCCGCTATCGCTTGAGACTTCCTCGCGATTCATGCAGGACCCACGCTTCAGCAACCCGCCTGCTCGACCTGGTCGCCTGGTCCCGCGTTCCCGACCTGCCCGCCGTGGTTCTACTACTTGTTTTCTGCTCCTTGCCCCCCTCCTGCTAATCCCACCAGCCCTTTAGGGCGTAGGTGGTCTAGAGAGTTTCCTCTGCCAACCCCCCTTCTTTCCCTTCGGGGAGGGGTTTACCCCTCCCCTTACCCCTCCCCACTGACCTGGACGGGGCGTTCCGCGACGCGTTGGGACGCCCAAGATGGCCCAAGACTGCTCCAAGAGCGAAAAGGCGAGAAAACACAAAACATTGATTTTCCTTAGGTTTTGGAAGGATTTTGGCCTCTTGGGGGGGCCCAAGAGGCGATCCGAGGCACTCTAGAGGGGCGAGGCTAATTAAGGCTCCCCCCTTCTTTGATAGATCTCCTCCAAGATGGCCCCAAGTGCGCCCCGAAGGCTCCCAAGAGCGCCCCAAGAGCGCCCCAAGAGCGCCCCAAGAGACCCCAAGAGGCCCCCAAGAAGCCTCTAAGAGGCTGCCAAGAGACCCCCAAGAGGCCCCAAGAGAGTCCAAGATGGCCCAAGACGGCTCCAAGAGCGAAAAGGCGAGAAAGCAAAAAACATTG